CCTCGCCGCCGGGCGCACCTGCAGGCGGCCTCGCCTCGGGGCTGCGCGCGCCCGCGGAGGCCCCGCCGCCCCCATTCCGCCTTGGGACTGAAGCGTCCCTTCCAGTTCGCGAGCCCTTGGGGTCTTCTTCCTCTACCCGTGAGCGCGCTGTCCGTGGGTCCCCACGCCACCACCAGCTGAGCCTCTCAATTCCAGGTTCCCCAGAGGGCGCCTCCGACGCTTCCCTGCAGGCTCAAGCTGCCTACTTGCTGAGTGCTTGGGCAGCCCCACTCATGGACTCCGGGTCCTCGCCGGCTTCCTTCATCTCCCCACAGTCTCTCCCCACTCTCACCTCACCCCACTTACCCGCGTGTTCTTGGCTTCTTACTGGGAGGATGCTCCCCTTCCACATAGCTGCACTGGCTGCTGTTCGCCAGGGCCTGAGGACAGTTTTAGAGCTCAGAGACCAGCACACCGGGAGCTCCTGACTAAAGGGAGGCGTGGGTTGTCCCGGACCCTTATGTCTGCCTTGCCTCCTGGAAAGCATAGGACTCACCAAGGTATTATTATTTTTTAATTAAAGTTGATTTAATGAAACAGGGATTGGTGTGCTGGTGGTGAATTGAGGGAGTGGCTGGGGAGGACATCTGGTGAATTTGTATGGTGGGATGCCGCCTGGCGTTGAACCTCCACGCATGCCTAGTAATCCCAGCCCTCAGGAAGCTGAGGCAGAAGGATCAACGTGTGAGTTCGAGGTCAACATGCACTTCACAATGAGACCTCTATCTCAAAAAAAAGAAAGAAAGAAAGAAAGAAAGAAAGAAAGAAAAGAAAAGAAAAATCACCCATAGCTGTTCACATAGTAGGCCTACCCAGACGTTGTCAAAAACATCTCAAGCCTGGTAGGGATGGGATGGTGTATGTGTGTGTACACGTTCACTTAAGAGTACATTTGGGTGGTGACATTGCTGCTAGCTCAGGGTCCTTCTCAGCTCCTGGGGGTAAGAAAGTATCACGTGCCAAGCATTGATCAGCGAATGGACAAAATCCTTGCTTTATGGAGTTATAGGTCAATTGGAGGGTGACATTGATTGAGCTGTCGCTGCTTAGAGAAATGAGATGTGTCCTAGGATCCCTAAAGCATGGGCCACATAACTAAGTCACTTGGAAACTTGTTAGAAATACAGGACTTTGGGCTCCACCTCAGGCGCAGTGCGATAAACTGCAATTTCACAAAATTCCCAGGTAATTGGTCTGCACACAACGCTGGGTCTGGGCTGCGGGCTCATTCCAAAAGAGCAAAGCTCCTGCTATGAGGATTGTGACCAAGTTGCAGACCACACTCCCTCTTGGGGCTTAGAGCTGGACTGAGTGTCCATCAGTTAATGCCTCTGTTATACCTCCCCTGCTAGGTTGTGCAATGGGGCAGCATTGCCCAGAGCTGATTCCTGATTGTCCACAGCACCAAAGACAGGGCAGCACTTAACAGAGGCCTGGGTTCAAGGGTCAAGGGAGGAATTGGCCTGTGACCCTGGCTTGCTCTATGGGGCTGACCCAAACACTAAGCATCAGGCTTTTCCAAGCTTCCTGCCTCCAGGCTCCTGGTCCAGTTGAGTCTGAATTCAGGGTCAGGAAGGGCAGGGAAGGGAGTGAGCACATGCAGAAGGCAGGATGAATGTTTTCTGCTTGTTTGTGGCATTTGTAGCTGTGGAGCGATGAGATGGGAGGGTGGAGAGCAAGCAGCTCAGAAGAGGAGAAAAGCACAAGTCTGGGAAGGCTGTCTCCAGAGGTTGGGCAGGAAGTGTGTAAAGGGTGGTAGAAAGTGCCCTAGACACTCCTCTTCTCCCTACTGTTAACTGCTTTGAGCAAGGGCACACTTGCCTGGTACATAGCAGTCTTCTGCCTAATACTTGTTGACTGACTGAACAAATAACTGCCTACTTAACGACTTTGCCTGACTTAACGAGCAATGACCCAATGGGCAGTCCTTGGCACACTCTTCTCCTTTCTTACTTGGAGCTCTCATACTAACTTGTGGAAAGAGCAGGGCACGGTGGCTCATGCCTGTAATCCTCCTGCTCTGGGAAGCTGAGGCAAGAAAACCATACATTGCAGCCCAGTCTGGGTACCTTAGCAACTTAGAGACCCTGTCTTAAAACATAAAACCCTAACCCTAACCCTAACCCTAACCCTAACCCTAACCCTGTGTTGAATCTTTTGCTCCTGGATTCCATAGTTTTCTTTTTCTTAGTTTCTTTCCCTGTTCTAGTAGAGGTAAATTGTCTCGGAAACTTCATACATTTTCAATGAAGAGGATTGTTTTAGCATGAGAAATTAAGCATGCACTTCAACAATTAAATATTTGAGTTGAAGCTGTGTTTAGATGTTATGGGGCTGTAGGCAGGGAGGGTGTTGGGGAATGGGGGGTGTTTTCTCAGCTCAGTGTGTTACCTCCAGGGAAGCTAGGAAGATGGCTCAGTGTTAGGGTGCATTTGGGTACAAGGATGAAGGCAGGGAGACTGCTGAGAATGCTTTATAAAAAAGGATGAGAGGAGAACCCCTGGAAAGGGGCTGCATCCAGATTAGAGTGGCTTGGGACATCGGAAAAGTGGCTTTAGGGCCAAGGATGATGCAAGGGGCTCCTTCATCCAACTAGAAAGAAGTCAACAGAACCCCAGCACATGAGGTACACACTGGGTACGTGCAAAAATGATGCCCTTGGCAGGGACACTGATAACAGAACTCCTTGAGGGAACTTTTAGAGCTCTGGGCATGACCTAGGAAGGAAGGAAGGTAGTTAACTGGGAAAGAAAAAACAGCAACGTGGAAGCCCTTCTACCTAGAGACGGGTTGCTTTTTGCTTATGTACTTCGAGTGATTCTGGAAGTAGAGGGACAGGGGAGGATTTTACAAGCTCCAAGAGGTGACTATTGTCTACTTTTAAAGAAAAAAATTCTGTGGATCTTTAGTGTTGACTTTAAATTGTTAAATGATGTTGCTCAGCATGGGCAGTTTTAAATTCTTTAAGCATCTATTTCTTTTTTTTTTTTTTTTTTTACGGAACCGGGGATTGAACTCAGGCCCTTGTGCTTGCCAGGGAAGTGCTTATTCCACTGAACCATCTCCCCGGTCCCTAAGCATCTATTTCTTATGTAACTGCTGGAATCTTTTACAAATTAAATTCGAACAGGAACCCAGTTTGGAGTTCATAGCATAAATCATAAAAAAGATGATACTGATTTGTTAAAAACTAAGCCACTCGCACCATGGGCACGACACTCACCCTCCATCTGTAGCTCTGGGGTTTGGCCTGTCTTGAACTATGTGTTGATACCCCCCCTTGAACAAATGGAAACATTTCTTCATGTAGTGGACCACCCACAGACTGGCTCCTTACTTGTGAAATTTACTTTTTTTTTTCCTCATCTCAAGATTAAAGTAACACTACTTGACAATAAGTGCAAATGAATACTTTAAATACCAGATTTCCATTATAAAGAAGTCATTTAGGTGATCCTCAAATATGGTCTACATTTTTTTATTTTTACTTTTTGATAGACTCTTAGTGCAATAAAAAACAACATTTAAACTTTTTCATAAATACCTACATTTGGGGCCGGGGAGATGGCTCAGTAGGATAAGCGCTTGACTGGCAAACGCAAGGATCTGAGTTCAATCCCCAGTTCTGAAACAAAACAAAACAAAACAAAAACACACCCTACATTTATAAGAGTATATTCTTGGAATTCAAATGAAGGAACTAAAAATATAAAAAATGATTATCTAAATAAATGACTTTGGCCAAGAGCATTAATGTGCATATCGAGCATATTAAACACCCAAAAAGTCATGATAGCTTCCTGAAACGTGTCAAGGAAAATGATCAGAAAAAGAAGGAAGCCAAAGAGAAAGGTACCTGGATTCAGCTGAAGCACCAGTTGCCCCTCCCAGAGAAGCGCACTTTGTGGGGACCAAAGGAAAAGAACCCAAGTTGTTGGAACCCATTCCCTATGAATTCATGGCATAAACTGGGGACGTTGCTCTGCCATTCAGCTCCTAATTGACTGCTCAAGTGTTCTAGGTCCTACATAAAAATAAAATCATCCTGTGTTGTACGGGTGGGTTTCTTAGTTGAACAGGTATGTGGTGCCTTCTTACCTCAGAAATATTTGCAGCAGATTTTCACTGTACCCAGTAATTGTGTCTAGCCTTTACTCTTCAGTGTTTTCTTGCTGAAAGATATTGCTGAGGTATTATGCAGGTGTATACGCAAAAATTCAAATATTTATAAAGTATTTATGTTGGCTTGAAGATCCTGTAAATCATCATGGGGAAAAGATGTATTAAAATAAATGGAAGTCACTTCAGAAATAAATAAATAAATAAATAAATAAATAAATAAATGACTTTGCTTAGAAGAGTTCTAATTATGGACTATTTATAAACCAATATGAGAACAACACAAAATCTTCAGGAGAAGGCTGAGGGTATTCATAGCAGAACAAATTTTCTTTTCTTTTTTTTTTTTTTTTGAGACAGGGTCTTGCTATATAGTCCAGGCTGGCCTTGAACTCATGGTGATCTTCCTGTCTCAGCCTCCCAAATGCTGGGATTACAAGTGTGTCCCACCCAGCCCAGCCATAGAAGAATTTTTGCTTTCCTGAGTTTGATCCTTGGCAGCAGATAGATAAATAGAGCCAAACTTGTATTTAGAGGAAATTTCATAGTCTTAGTTAGATGACTATGGAGATGATGTTAAGGAGACCAGATAAGGGACTGCTGTGGTATTCAGGCAGAGAAAGATGGTACTGATTTGTTAAAAACTAATAGAGGTGGAGAAAATTAGACATAACAAAACTGGTAGAGGTGGAGAAAATTAGACATAACAAAACCATAGAATCAGTCATTGGTTAAAATCCTCTGAGTCCACTAAGGCTTCATCTTTTCTCCTCAATAATGGCGTCATGCTGGCCCCAAAAGCTTAGGGTGATCATTTGTCTGGAGAGAGCCCTGGCCTGGCCTGGCTGACTTCACGAGGAAGGGGTCTCACTAGATCCAGGAGCACAGAAAAAAACAGAAGAAATCTCGCCCTTGCTCCCACCAGAGGGCACCTCCAGCAGCCTGTTCACCTGTGAACTACAGGGAGCCACCAACGAACCTCATTTTCCAGTAACATAAGTTGTTCCAGAACACAGAAGAAATGAAAGTCAGTGCAGTTTACTTAATTGTTATCAAAACCTGGTGAAGGGGTGAGCCTGCAGAGTATAATCTAATTTCACATGTGAAAGCAAATGCAAATTCTCCAAAAAAACACAGTGCCAGCAAATTGAATCCAGGCTTTTATAGGTAAATGGATGCAACCAGAGACCCTACTCACAAGTGAAATAAATCGGAATCACATGTGCAAATAACGTATTGTCTGTGTAGTTTAAGAAATTGGAAGAGTAAATAAAATCTGAAAGGGACAATAAATATTGTGAAAAGGAAA